CCTAATATGATTTAAGGTCTATTCCTTAATTAAGGAATATGCCTTAAATTATAAGGGCCTAAACCGTATGATTTAAGGTCTATTCCTTGAAATTAAAAGGGCCTAAATCGTATGATTTAAGGTGCCCTTAATTGAGGACTATATGCCTTAAATCATAAGGGGCCTAAATCGTATGATTTAAGGTCTATTCCTTAAATAAAGGGGTATTGGGCTCTCTGGGCTGGTCTTGTCGGGCCCTAAACCCTAAACCCTAAACCCTAAGGGTTCAGGGGCTTGGGGTTTCGGTTGTTCGCGGCTTAGGGTAGTTGGAGTCTACAGGGTCTTCTTTTAGGGTTTAGGGTTCAGGGTTTAGGGTTTAGGGTTTAGGGTTCAGGGTTTAGGGTTTCTGAAGGCATAAGAAGGGAAGGTGCCAACAGCGACTTTGCCGTAATGATCAGCTTCACACAAATGAGGAGGGTTTAGGGTGAATATAGGAGCTCTCATAATTCGAATAAGGCTTTGGGGTATATTATACTAATTATAATAAGGAACCGCCAAAATAAGATATGAAGTAGAGCTGGGACACCAGGGCCCAGAAGGCCGGCACCGGCCTTCAAAGCACTGAAGAATGGCGCCAAAGGGGGTGAGAAGGGTTTAGGCTTCAAGGCGTTTTTTTATGCAACTCTGCGCCGAGGCCAGCGATGCGAGTCAAGAGACTCTACATGAACGCTTAGAGCCAATTTGGGCTTCGGGCGAGCAACGCGAACGGACCCACGGGGGTTGGGGCCAGGGTTTGGGGGGTTCAGGGTTCGGATTCAGGGTCCTTGTTTAGGGTTGAGGGTTTAGGGTTTAGGGGTTCAGGGTTTAGGGTTTAGGGTTTAGGGTTTTTAGATCGGTTCGGGGGTTAAGGCTGGATATGGCAAGTCTCCTAGCAGGTTCTAGCAGGGGGATGGATCGTTTCATTAGGCCGGAACAACGCAGTACGTAGGCCTGCAGACTCCAAACCTCTCTGCCACCTGATCTGCACACATCCCTGGACCGTGAGGCCCTTGGTTCTCCAGAGCTGCAGCGAAGGATGCACACAGCTCTTGGGCCAGGACCTTTCACTTTCGACTAACAACTTTGAAAAGTGTTGTAACAAAATCCCGCTCCGCTTTCGGGGTGTATGTGCAATCAGCAGTGCGATACCACCTGTATCTGTATCGATCTGTGCTCCCGAGGTTGCAGAGGGGAAATGAATCCAAGGGAAACCTAAACCCTTAACCCTTTGGGCTTGCGTGTGAAGGACTTACGCCAGGCTTCTTCGGTGCTATCGCCGAGAAACCCGAAGCCCCGCCCCCCCCGGGCAAGCCCTGACTCCCTCCCTACTGCTACTACACTACTATTTACTGCTGCTGCTATTTCTCCTACTGGTGCTACTGCTACTCCTGCTACTGCCACCACCACCACGACGACCAACACCACCACGAATCTCATCCCACGTCGTTACTTTTGTTTTCGTTCGTTTTCATTGTCTTATTTCCATGACTACTCCGCATAGTAGAACCATCATTGAAGCAGTCATTGCTAAGTGCTACTGTCTGACTTACGCATGGCAACTGCTGTGGCTATGGCTACTGTTTGTATTAGTAGTGGTACGTTAAGCTTCTATGGTTGAAGCGGAAGCTAAAGTTCAAGGGTTTCTCCTGGCCCATTTCGAACTGATCCTTAGTAGTTGACCCCTAACGATGCCAAGGGATCGCATACAACGTTCGCAGCTAGGGGAGGGGGAAGGGGACCAGTTTAATGGTGTGTTTTGCAAGTTCCAAGATGCACCAGCAAAAAAACCCTAACATATCTACACTGTGTGCAGTGCTGTAAAAGGTTCCACAGTTGGACATGTGTTGTACCTTGATTGCTGGCCTGGAGAGGGAAATGCAACATGTTGTTTATGCATATTCATAGATGTGTGGATGCATTCGCGCATGCATGTAACATACATGTACATGGATGCTTGAATTAAGTCTTTCGCAAACAAGCGAGGATGGGTTCCAGTTCGGTCTTCTACAAAATTTTTACAAGCGGCTTCACCAAATCCATACTATGGCATCCGACGTCACCTCTCCCTGATAGCACATGTAGGGTACGTGTGGGAGGGTTGATTGGATTCTCCTCGAATCCTGCAAGGCGTGTTCACCTGCAGGGTAAACGGTTGATTCCGCTCCCACCTTCGGTGCATCTCGGACCGCTCTTTGGTTACACACGCTCTTTGGCTGTCTTGCGTGTTGCAGAACTCCAGAGACTTCAATATCTCGTGGTAAATTTTTAAATCGGAACAGGGATCCTTTCAAAGGGGCCCCTATGCCAAGGGACCGTTTGGAGTCTCTGGTGCTGCTTTCTTCGACTTGGTGCAAGGGACACCGGGATCTGGGAGTTTACCGTTTCCGGGATGAATATGGGAGTTTCCGAAAATTAGGGGTGCCTTATTTTGGGGTCCTTATAATAAGGATCCTATTATTTGGGGTACTATATTAGGGTCCCCCCCCATATGAGGGCTTGCATCACGGGGGCTACATGTGGTAAGATTGCCAGGATCTTACGAGCTTTCGGGGGATCTTGGCGTGTCATGACAGTTCGGTTCACCAGACCCTGGCGCACAAAGAAGGCATGAACGTCGGCAGGAAGCAATTTAGACCGATGCGACCGTCCGACGTGAACGAAGGACCATGAAGCCATAAAAGTTGTGTGTGCATCGGATATGCATGTGTAGGTGTATGAGGCTATCCACGTCATTTCGAGCCACATCTCGGTTCAAGCATCCCGGGAAGGTAAGCTGTCAGACGCGCTCCCGCGTTTCAACGGCGTCTTCTGACATGGACTCGAAGCTTTCGCGAGTCTCAGAGCGAACTTGACTGTCCGAGTGGTTGAGCAAATGCCTCGCTGAGCGGTGCAGGGATGGCGTGGCCAACTGTAGCCTACTCCAACTGCTCTAACTAAACCCTAAACCCTAAACCCTGAACCCTAAACCCCTAAACCCTAAACCCTAAACCCCTAAACCCTAAACCCTAAACCCTATAGACCACTACGAATGTTTCCGACGTGCGAGGTGGCTCGGCCTGAAGCTTCGAACTGCAGCAGCCAAGCACGTCACACACAGAGCTGCGTTGAGGATACTTCACTCTAGTTGGCTTCAGGTAGTTGAATAGGTGGTAGCGTGTCTTTTCCGGGTTCTCTCGTATACGTACATACGTATACACATAAATAAGCGAATAGAAATACATAAACAAATAAACACACATCAATAACTAACTAACTAAATAAATCCATGTATATACATACAATATACAGTGCTTGTAGCCCGTATACCCTAGTCTAACGATATAGGCCTTCGGCTTGCCTTCATCTCAGTTTGCGCAATTTGCAGGGGTTTCTGGATCCTGAGCTGAATGGCAACCTTCTGTAAACAGCGGTATCCGCCTTGGAATCCCCTGCCTAATCCCCATGAGTAGAAGGCCGACAAGCGGCTCTCTTAGAGAGGTGAAGCCCTCGGCACGCTCCGAGAGTTCGCGGATGTTGATGTCGGTCGCGACAGAGATATCCTGTGCTGACTTCTCAGTCCGTCCTAATGGCTAAACATGTAAACCCTAAACCCTGAAATGATACGATAAGCCAGCTTCTTAAAAGTCGGATCGAAGTTCTAAGCCCGAACAGCCGACCAGAACAGCCAAGTATCCGTGATGACCAGGTTCATCCCCTGGTGGACTTTCTTGGGCATTTGCAGGGTTTGGTTCTTGGCATGTAAGGTAGTATGCGGTCATGTAGCCGCATCTCATGGGGCTCGCCTAAGCGACTTGAACTGGGTGTTGGGAGACATGAGCGTTCGGAAGCATAGGGTGCCCTAATATCGAACTCTGAATAAAGGGGTCATTAGCACAAGGAGACTGACAGGGAGCTGATTCTAAGCAACCCCCCCTTTTACTAGAGCTATCTATGGTCGGGTCGTACTGCTACAACCAAACAGGCCCCAATTTAGTGACTAGAGCTTGGAGCCATTCCGGGAAACCTGAGCTACCGCTCTAAAAGTGCAGCAGCCTTGTCATCATGTGGGTAGTTCTCCAAATTAGAATCGCTTTTTAGTTCCCCAGTATAGTACGGCACCCTCATAAAAAAAAAAAAAAAACCCTAAAAGGGACCCTAGTTTGGAGAAGTACCCATATGATTTGCTTCAGGTTTCCGTTTGTTTCCGGGTCGCCAACCCCTGGCTGCTGGAGTGCACTACCCAGACCACCAAAAGGATCTAAAAAATAGATCCCCTAATTAGGGACCCTAACTACTAAAGGGTACTTTATAGGAACCCCCTTAGGGGATCTATTTTTTAGATCCTTGTGGGGGTCTGGGTAAAGCCGGTGTTCACAGGCCCACAGGAATCCATGTAGCTTTCGGAGTACGTTATACTTGAAGTTCTTGGAGTCCGCCATTGGTTTCCGTGCTTCATCATAGCAGCGTCTGGGTTTCAACTTCAGCGTACTCTGCCATTTCTTCTCGTGTCTACTCTCTGAGACTCTGAGCATGTGATGCGGTTTTGGGCTAAGGATTTGGCTGCGGCAAATCGCCTTGGATCTTGCAATTGCTGGGCCATGCAATCGTTTTCGTTACCGTCTGCTCCGGTAAACAAAGGCACAAGAATCAGGCTTTCTTGTTTGTGAATCGCTGAGGTCAAGCTTTTGGGTTGGGGGGGTCAGTGTTTCTGGTTCTGTTGTGTGGCCGTCCCTGCTTGACATCATCGAACCTACCATCGCAATCGTCTTTACTTACTGGCTTAACATTGTTGGCAGTCGAAGGGAAAAAAGTAGTATGGCTACTATGAGCACTAGTTGTTGCACCTTGGTGCAGCCAGTATATTCGTACTTGCGAGTCGGAGCCCCTGCAAATTGTGAATCGTTTTTGTCCTGGGTATATTATAACGTTGTTCAAGCAAGTACCTTGAAGAGGGCCGGAGTATCAGACAGCACCCAGCCCAACACCCTACGGATGCCTGCGCGGCTTCAATTTGGCCGAGCAGGAGGATGCCCAAGACCTTGAGATACTCGCCTTGGCGCCAGAAAGATTCGCGGGATCTTCTGCGGTCTCACTGATCATGGCTTTGCGTGTTTGGTTTGAAGCTAAAACGAGGTATGAGCCTTAAGCAGCTTTCAGCGTTGTTGGCCTGGGTTCCTCATTCTCGCGGGTTCAGGGAGCTCCAACAGAGCTCTTCATGAGATTTTAGCGCGACACCCGCAACAAGTACTCTGAAGATCTTTTGCTGTGTTTGTCAAAGTAGGCCCGGTCCGACATCCTTCGTGCTGAGGACTTCTTGCAGTGGCCTTCATCCGGTAACAAGACTCCTGAACTCTTCCGTCGATACGCTGAGGGGTGTGAGCCGGCGGAGATTTGCGACGCTAGCACCGCCAACGACTTGCCCAACAATCCATTGCCGGCAGGATCGGAGTTGAGGTTGTAAAATAATCAGTATCACCGTGTCCGGGGGGGCAAGCTGCTGAGAAAGAATGATGTCACGAATTCGTAAGCTGAAAGCCATCTAAAGGGCGAAGATCGGACACGTTGAGTCAGATTGCTTTGAGAGTTGGAGTGACATCGGCAACGACGGTTGTAACAGTGCTGATGTTGGTGAAGATGCTTCGCTACGACAGAGCCAGGGAGCAAATGGTATGATCTGGTATCTGATATTAGCAGTAAGGCATATGACATGTGATACATGCCATGTCTAGCACCATGATGAAATGATGATGTCATGACGCAAAGATATGATGACGCAACACTTGAGAGCCTGCTTCCATTTATGTTGTCAAACACGTTCTGCCGGCGAATGCGATGCCCAGGCACAAAGTGGGCCTCCGAAGCTTGCAGCGAGGGTGCAGAACCTTCGATTTCAAGGTTTCTAGGGGTCGTTGTTTAATTGGATATACATGTTTGTGTACATATATGTATATATAGAGACACACACACACAGACACCTACCTTGATTAGTTATTGCATGTTATTGATATTGCACTGTATGCATGGATACAAAGCCTCGAGATGCCTCGAGTAATGAGTTTACCTCTGCAGCGATCTCGTACACTACGTACATGGAGGTGTCCTTATGAAGCTACTCCGGGTGGATGGATCGGTGGGTGGATTAGGAGATGCAATAACCCGTTCTTGCGTGGTGTGCGCAGAACACCCTAAGCCCCAAATCCAGTAAACTAAATCGGAATGGCATCTAAATAGCCTCTGCGGAGTGGAAAAAGGGGAAACAGGGACGTGCTACAAAACAAAAGATTGCCGGCGGTGCTTCTCAGAATATAAACCCTAAACCCTAAACCCTGTCTTCCTGAGTTTTCTTACAGTCAGCCCTAAACCCTAAACCCTAAACCCCTAAACCCTAAATCAGTGTCCCCCAAAAACGGGCAACGCCCTGCACCTCCAAGCTGCCCCAGTACTTAAAGGATCATGGGACTTAGTAAGTAGGGTTATAACTAAGGTAACTATACTTATATCTACTTATAACCCCGATTAAGAAACTTATAACCTTACTTACGAAGTCCCATGATCCTCCCAGTACTTGGCCTGTCTTGAAGCTCCAAAGCCCCAAAACCGAAGCCTGATGTAGAGGTTTTAATAAGTAGAATAGGGTTCCTTTAAAGGGCTCCTTAAAGGGGATACTATAAGGTTTCTGTAACATAGGGGCCCGAATAATTAGAATTGGGTTTTGGGATCCTTTATACTACAATTATAATAATGAACCCCCAGAGTAGTATAGGTAATTATGAAACCCTAAACCCTAAAC